TTTTTTTTTTCTGTTATTTTCTGTTCCTCTGAAATGGGAGAACTTTATCTGATCCAAACAGCAGCACCCGGGCCCCATCTGTACTCCGGAGCATCCCATGTTCTCTGAACCTTGCCTTAACTAACATAGCATTGGATGAGCAAGGTCTAAAGTATTTGTCTTCAACACTGTTTGAACTTTGAGATACTCTAAATGCCATGAGAGAATTCCATGGTACAAAGATAAACTTTGAGCCAATTTATACAACCAACTTGACATCATCTTGAAACTAAATCTAGGGGATGCAAACTGTTGTCTGCTATCTTTTCTCTGCTTGAGTGTGTCACAAGATAGATATTTGTACTGAGTAGTAAGTTTCCTGAAAAGATTTAGGATTTTTCATTTAAAGGTTCTTGGGGTGGGAGATCTAGTCTGCTCTAAACTGGATTTGCTTAGTCTAGGAAAATCAACTTCTGAAATGTCAGAATGTATCACTTGCTTCCATTCAAAGAGGCCAGTTCTAAAAATTGGCTGCTATACATATGTGGTACCTTGCTTTTTGTTTTGCAAACCTACTGTCCTGCAACCAGCATCTCTTAAGACTTGCTGGAGAGGCTAAGAGTCCTGTTTCTCCATGCAGCTACAAACAGCAAAGCACTCTTGGGTCTTTGCACATGAAGTCTACCAGCATTTGTCATCCCCTGCCTGCCAATCAGCTAATTGGTTTGTGCACATATGTTTCTGATTAGCAAAATTTGCATTGTTAATTGCAGTCTTAAAAACCAGCTTGGCTCCCTAGTGAAACACCCAATGATGTCCAGGGAGTTAATTATCTCTGAATGGGAGGGACTCAGAATTGTTGTAGGCATCTTCCTGCTGAGCTGATAAAAGTTCTCCTGTGCTCTATTTTCTTGCTCTGAATTCACTAACACTCATCTTGTGTAGGGGCAGGATCCCAGCTGCTGGCAGGCACAATTAAAAGGAGGGTTTTTTTCTAAAAAAAAATATCTGTTGGGCGAAGGGTTTTTCCCCCCTTCTGTAGGGAATTGTTTGGGGGCAGAGAAGAGAAATTGGATATAGCTTTTAACTGTAAGAAAGAGTGTTAGTTGGTACTCTGCCCAACATTAATTTTGTGATCTTGCCAGTCAACATATATTGAAGCCCTGAGAGCAGATCCAAATTTTAGAAAATCTGCATGCAGCTAAACAACCTTTATTCACTTGTTCCTGTCTTCCACTTCTATCAGCAAACATAAGTCATTGCTGCTCCAGACCCCCAATCAAAAATCCAAGAAACCTCTAACCTGGGATCAAGATTCATTGGAATCCTCTGTTTGGGGAAAATGTTGTCTCTTAATCTTTGTCAAGTTGTAAAGCAGATCTCAGAACAGGGTATCCATCTTTACTAAGGAAGGGAGTAGGTGGGTTTTGCAAGAAAAGGTAGCAGTATGGACTGCAGCTGTATACAATTCATTTCTAAGATGAATTTTCTATCTTGTGCAGAATTATTTTTCTCTAAATGAGGTAGGCCTTGACGTCAGTTTGTGTGAGGCAATATATAGTATCAACTTGCCTGCCACATTTTAGCCTAGCCTTTTATGTAGACCTAGGTTGTGTCATTATTTAACAGTAGTGGATTGTGTATACTCAGTAAATTGGGATAATTTATTTTTGGATTGCTCTTCCTTGTGAAGCATCCTAGAGTAGTGTACAGGAAAACCCCAATAAACCAGTTTCAATCAAACAAAACCATCAGTAAACCTGAAAGACGATAAGGCAAAAGTTGAAACAAGATTCATATTTTCAAAAGTTTGAAAAGACTGATACTAGAGCAATTGATACCTATAATTCCTTAGGCACATCTTCAGTTCTCCTTGGAGAAGATGAGGGCAGCCATACATTTTCAGGACAGTAATCTATGATTAGGCTGCTGTCACAAAGGAAGTCCTACTCTGGCCATCCCCCTATCAGCTGATGTCATGAGCAGGACTTCTCCAGCTGATCTTAGTGCATGATATTGGGGGAGGTGACCTTTGGAGTACTTGGGTCCTAAGACATTAAACTATGGATAACCATAGATAAATGTGTCATGCAAATACAACTGATAAGCCTTAGAGTATAGGTAGGCAATCTGCTGTCTGGATGTTGCAGGTACCCAACGTAATGTGGAGCCACCCAAACTCTGAGAAATCCACTTACATTTCCCATCACTGGCATGAAATTAGGTCACCTAGTGCCCACCAGCCCATCTGTACACCAGACCAGCCAACTGGTGCGTGCATTTCTCTATGAAGAGGTGCTTTCTGCATCAGTGACTGCTTGCTCAGGAAAAAAATTCTGGTTCAGTGGGTCAAAGCAGTCATCCACTCACATCTTAGACCCTTCCAATCATCAACAACGTAAAAAAGAACCAAATATTGCCATTTTTCAAAGCCCTTCTCTCCTGCCCATTGTTTGGTTTTGTAGATATATTTTGAAACCTTTACTAAGAACAGTTTTGTTTCCACAGCCTCAGTGTTATCTGTTAGGAGTATAAGCAGGACAAATGGGAGTCCCAGCATTTCAGATCTGTCTTGCTTAACTTTTGAGTTTTTTAGGGCACAATTTTTTCTTTTGTCTCTTTCTTTTTTAATAATCCCAGAGTAAGTTGACCCATCCCAGTGAATTGCTTGAGGGTAACCACAGTTCAGTATTTTATTTTATTTTTTAAATCTGCCTGAGCCTTAGAAATAGGGTATATTAACTGGGTTTACTTACTATGCACAATGTGGTTTGTGGGGTTTTGGCTTAGCACGTTGTGTGAACCCAAACATTAGCATCTCTAAGCTCATAGTTTAAGGCTTGCACAATTCCAGAAAGCCAGGAATGGATGCCAAATGCCACCATGGAATGGAAGGCAGGGGTCAAATACAGGCCATTGTTTCGACTTTATGTTATTCATTTAATTTCTATAACCACCCATCTCAACCAAGTGTCTCTTGGTCTTCTTGCATCTAACCATGTTTCAAATACATCTTGGCATTTTGCAACAACTTTTTTTTTCCAAGATTGAAAAAAAGTCTTGTGCCCTGAAAATGCCACTTAGAACAGCAACCATCAAATATCTGCCAAAAAAAAAAAAGTTAAGATGAGGACCAATCACTGGTGAAATACTGTAGCATTTGTAACTGACATAGCAGCCTTGTGTGAAGAGGCATCTTGCTAGCATCAGATTTTTCCTGAAAAAAACATCCTGACTGGGAACAAGTCCACAGCTTCACCGTTGTCCCAATTCCTTGTTATGAAAGGATGAGACAGTCCTCTGCATGCCTTCTGTTGCTGATTGCTTTCCAAAACCGGAGTTCAAGCCTTGAAGAATCACAAGATCTTTAGGAAAGACCTACTTTCTACCAGCTTGTTGGATCCTAATGAGCTTCTAATAATTTTTCGGAAGGCATACCAGCAACCCATGTTGAATCATAAGTGTGCTCCAAAACAGAAGTGTGAACTCACCTTGAGTGTGAGGTATCCTACTAATAATAGGGTCATATCCTTAAATCACAGTGGCTGGTTCACACAGCACAATGAACATGGTTACTAAATTAATTTTCTGGATTTGTACCGTACGCCGAATCGTAAACCAGCCAGAGGATTTTAACCAGATCAGTTAAAGATCTAATTGCTATATTTGCACAGCACAGCACAGTACGCTTGGTTAACTTTAAGCTTGGTTAGGTTGTATCTGGGGATGGCTTAGCATACGCAAATCGAATCTGTCCAGTCTGTTTATGATGTCATGTAGTGTGCAAAACCCTGATATGTGATGCAGTCTTGATTTTGAAAAAGCATCTTAGCAAACCTTGAACTTGAAAGTGGAAAAGAAGGTGCTAATAGACAACAAAAGGGCAGCAAATGAACAAGAATTAAAAAAACTAAACTAAACTAAAGTCTGGTAAAAAGATTCATTTGCTTCACGGTGTTAATACAGGATGGGATAATATGCAGAATAGATCACCACAGAGGATAATAAGTAAACTCAACTCCTGGAGACATACATGGATACATCCATGCTGTTCTCTTGGCATGATATGGTTGACCGTTGCCTTTCAACTCTACTTCATACCCCTGACATTTCCACATGATCCTCCAGTTCTGGTAGGTGCCACCTGCTGAGGTCACTACACAGGACTTAACCCTTTCCTCATCCTCTGATACTACAAATCCCATCCTCTAATTTCTTTCCATCATTCTCCCTCCAGTCTCAAACTCAAATTTTGATAGTTTCCCACATTTGCATTAGCCTGGCAGATGCAGAGCCAGCTACACAAATTTGCTGCTAACATGCCAGCAAACAGAGATACAAAAAAAGATAAATCTCCACAGAAGCCCTATCCATGGGTTTCTTCCT